GTATTATAGTAATACAATATTTTTTTTCAAAAAATTGATTTTTCCCTTTCATAGTAGATATCACTGTACTCTATATATTGAAGAATGCAAACTATAATATGTATAATTTTGACAATCGATACAGACTATGTAAAAATTTGTAAATATTGCTGAATATTTTTTTATATTTTAATTTTTTTAATGATAATTGTTCGCTTATCTAGTGATTTATTTATTCATATAAATTTGTAATCGAAAAATTAATTTAGTTCTTTTTAAATAATTATTAAAATAATTTTTAGATTAACAGTTCTAATAATCTTGTTTGCAAGCGAAAAAAGAAATGACGTAGAACAATATCATTCACATGTTTTTGCTATATTCTCAGAAACAAAGTCATCTTCTTCGCTTAGACCCTCTATTATTTATGAGGATATTTTGGTATACATTTATATTAAGAACTCCAAGACATTGCTACTGTAATAGAATCGTTTGCCTAGTCATTTAAATAAATTATATATAAAACATGAAACATCGCAAAAAAATAAATATTGACAAATAAAAATAAAAAATATAAAAATTATCTTCAGTTATCAATATTTAGAATTATAATTTATATTTTCAATTTTCATCATTTATATTAACGACTGATGTATTTTATTATTGCATATATTCAGCATTATACGTCCTAATCTTATCAGAAAATTTTTATGCAGTTTTTTAAATTTTATTTTTCTTCTATAATCTTTGGATAATATAAAACAAAATTTCTTTCACTTTCGCTTTTTATTATTATTTTGCGTACAATTTATATCAAAACATAAAAATATTCTGAAAAGAGGAAATAATAAGAAAAAAAAAAAATAAAAATAAAAATGTGTTAGAATAACTGAGAAGGTTAAATATCTTATAAGCTGCGCAATCTATATCAGAGATCCTGAGGAAGGAGTCGCGTGGTCAGCAGAACATGTCAGTGACACGTGACACAATTCTCCCGGTGGCAGATATCTCAGCTGCCTCTTGAATTCACCGCATTTCTTCTTTTTATTCGCTGAATTTTTCTCACGATCTCTCCCACGTTTTCGCGACATTATAAGAGACAAGAGAGACAGCATCGCATCATCGGCTTCGTATGCAACGTATTTTACGGTCCGTCTCGCAACGATGAATGTCATGAATGTTTCAGCAGACATTGGCCCGGAGCAAGACACGCGTTCACGCGAGTTAAATCGCTTTTCTCCAACGACCCCATCGTTTAGTATAATATACGAGGTAGCTCGAGAATGTGTGCCTCTCCTCAAATCTACAACGTAGATCTGATTATTGCGTCGCGTGATAAGCAGAGCTCGCATTTATGTGGCTTAGGTTCTTTACCCGAATTGTGGTGGGCAAGATAAATGTGTGTGCTTCAAGTGTAACATATCACGTGTAGTATGTTTTAAATATTCAAAAACTATATAATCGATAGTGAGAAAGAATGATGAAGAATGCTCATCAGATACGAAGGTATGTTTAAAAATAGAACACTATCTTGAAATATCTTTGTGAAGGAAAATAAAAAAAATAACATGTGTTACACATACACACACATACGCATGTACATGCATATGTATATGTTATAAAGATATGATATTAGCGAAACGAAAGAAGCGAAATATTTTTCAAACTTTAATGAGAGTTTTTATGATAAAAAATTTAAAAAAATAAAATAAAATGCTATCTTCTAATTATTTTTCATCTATTGATACGATCTATCATTAACGTTAAATATTTGTAGGGCATTAAAGATATTAAAATATGTACGCTTTCATTTTTATGAAAAAATAATTTACATTATTTTAAGAGATAATGTTAATTTTATTATATCGTCATAATAAAAAATAAATTAATTTTAATTTATCATGATTTGCATCTATATCAATAATCTATATCAATAATTGCACACTTAATAATAAATTATAATACTATACATATATAACGTATGTCAGTCTCATAATTTAGACATTAAAAAATTTAAATCTGAAATTACATATGCTTGCAATAATAATATAATATTATACAATATATTAAAAAAATACATTTTATCGTTCGAATGTAATTAGCGACATGTATTTATGAGATATCAATTAGTTTTCAATGCGCTTTGTTTTCTTGATAAAAAAATAATAAAAATTTTTCGTGACAGTTCTCGAATCTGGAATAGTCGAAAAGAAGTTGATTCCAGATAAAGCCTCCTTGAGACCGCATTCTAATGATAGACGTTAATAATGGACTTTTTTTACTAGCGGAAAATAAACGACAGAGAGACTGTAAGCTAACAGAGAGAAGGGAATTAAGCCATGAATCTCCATGTTCTTGAATGATAATCAAATGTAATAATAAGAAAAGCAACTTTTCTTTTCTGTGTCATGTGAGAGATCAAAACACGCAAATGGTATAATATTTGACATAGAGAGATATGTCGACGATTGTTATACTTGATTATTCTACCCAGACACATTACATGCGATACAATCGGTCCTTTGATAGGCTCATTTTATGACCGATGTTAATAATGTAGGTCACCAAATTCTCTCATAACGCTAATCTTAGATCATAACCATATTTATCGATAAAATCTAATTTTAATAATAGAAAAGAATCTACTCGAAAATGTTTGATTATTTCTAGGAAAAAACAGAAAAATAAAGCAAAAAAATGGTGCAATATAATTACATTGTTATAATGGAGAAAATAAGAAAACTGCATTAATATAAATTAAATCTCATTAAAACTTCCAATATATAATTAATCAAATTAATTTTGAAAATTGATCGAAGCATAAGCGTTATAGTAAACATTTTGGTAATATTATAAATAATTTATATTTTTCTAATAATTATTTTTAAATAAACAAGAAAATTTTAAATTTTATTTCAAACTAATTTATTTAATGTAACTTAAGAATGAGCAATTACATGATTTAGAATTGGAGATATTTGTTGAGAAAATAAATTTTTACATTTCTTTTATTCTTAAATATATACACAATAAATATATGAGAAATATTTTACACGAGATCTAATTATTTAGGTAGTATACACTATACGCTCATAGTCCGATGGTATTATTCGCACGTGAGAATCATAATCAGTTTTTTCGCCGAATCATCTACAAGACTACAATCGGGTCCGATATCGAAGGGTTTCGTATAAAATAGATACGAAGGCCCGCAAAGAGACTCCGGAATCATAGGAGGCTATGAAAACGGACGCGGTAATCGTGTCTAGAATCGTAGATGAGCGTGAAATCGAATCCCCAATGACCGAGAATGGATTATTTCTGATTATTACCGTGTCCAACAGAGAGAGAGAGAGTATTTCTCACCACTGCTGCTTTTATTCCCTATGGCAGGATAATACACGAGAGACTGCAGCAACGTTAGTTTTTCCAACTTGTTTTCAACCGACGAAGGTCCCGCGAAACACATTCGGCTATTCCAGGTGCGAGTCATTTTAATCAAGTCCCGAGCACGAGAATTCCCGGATGTGAATGTAACGATCTATCCTCGCAATAAATTGCAGTTTAGAAAGTTTATATTTATTTATATCTTCGTTTTCCTTAGTTAAAACGTTGTTACGAATATGTTTAGTTTAAAATTTTATCGCTTAGCGATAATGCGATTGCGACTTATGGTAAAATATTTATTAAATATTTATTTAAAAATAAATATTTTAGAAAATTGTTAAAATTTTTATCGTTATTATAGATTTTATGATTGTAGAGTTTTCTACCTAAATTTTCATTTTAATTTATACATTTTAAAAACTCTCGACGAGAATTAATTTGATTATAACGCGAAATTATATCGCGAATATTTTTTTGGAAACTAATTAAAAATATTTCATATAAATAGAATTAAAAAATAGTTGAAAAGTAGATTGCTGATATTTTTTTGATAGACATAAAAAAATAAGTAGAATCAGTATTTAAACGAATCTTTTTGCTTTCTTTCACCCAACTGTCACGGTTTTTATTATCTTCTCATTAATTAAGTAGCTTTAAAAGAGCAGTAACTAAGTACGCATAATGAATTGCTTCGTTGCTATATAATCAATACGATTTTTTTAAGAAGCTTGACAGCTACAAGAGAGATGGATGCTTTTATATACATTAAAATATTTATGCATAATTAATTAAACTGCACAAGAATTAAATGTAAAATGTTTAATGATTTAATATGCAGTCGTAGGAATTTATTATTTCATTTTTATTATACTCGTATATATAAAAAATTTTAACTAATTTTAATCAATTATCACATAAATGATACCTATCAAAAATTCTGACAATAAATTACCATAATTACCATTTATGTAATTGTAATTTATTAAACTCAAATATGTAACTTGCAAATTAAATATGAAATGTGACGCACTTGATCTCGAAATTTAATATTAAGTATGCAAAAAAAATTAATAAGCTACTAATATGATAAAAATATAATATAGATGTATTAATAGTTATTGTTTAACACTTGCACGTATAATTTTCTATTTGTTAATATCTTTCTTCTCTTCTGATTATATTGTAATTTACCATAGAATGTTATTTCACCCATATGTCACAGCGTATGTGATATAAAATAAATCTAACCATATAATTATTGACCACTGATTATTGACCATTTGGATTTACAAGCTTCCAATTAGTGCTCGTTTATCTGTTTTCTGTTTGATTTATTTCCTGCTAGTGATTACATTTCTTCGTATAAGAAATAGTGTATCTATCTGTGTGATAAACTTGCAGTTTATAAACCGCAAGTTTATTACGTAGTCAAATGTACGACTGAATAGAGTGGTCAATATAATACATATAAATTTTTGTGTATACATGGTTAAAGATTTTTAGCGATCGAAAAAGATGTATTTGTACAAAAAAGATTTTTGTGTTAAATAGAACCTTTATACGTCTTGATTATTAACAATATAAATTTTTCTCTGCTGAAAGATTTTACAAAGCAAGAATTTTATTTTACTCACCGATACGATGCATAACAGGAATTGTAGTATTCGTCGTTGACCTGTAAAATATAAATATATCCAAATTATAAATTAGTGTTCAAAATAATTAATATTTTACAAAGTAATTATTGCGCAAAATTTAATTTTTTATTTGTCTTTTAAATAGATATTAATCATTATTTATTTATAGGAACTATCTCCCAATTTCAATAATTCCTACATATATGGTCTCTATAAATAAATAATTAACATAATAATATGAGAGTTTTATCTTTTATCTCAATAATCTAAATAATGATAAATTTTCTACAACTTTTATAAAAAAATATTTTAATAAAAATCTATATGAACAAGTATATTAATTATTATTATTATACTCTAATACTTTATATATTTAAAAAAAACCCTAGTATATCTTATATGTATTATATATTAATGTAATTATTATCTCGGAGATAAACAAAAAATTAATTTGTAAATGATAAATAGTAAAAAGTTATAAATTATGCATACCCTGTGGTTGCTTCTTCGTAGGACGATATCTCCCCGTGAATCCTCTTTTGTTCATCTTTTGTTGTTTTTTCACGACACTTTTATTCGCAAAAATACGATTAACTATAATCGCGTGCGCATTAATCGAAATAACGATCGCGCGATATTTTATACGGCACTCGCGGCAATAATCAGACGCGCACTTTATTATATTACGTTATTTTATTATAACTGCGAAAAATCGAAACTATACACCATTTAAAAATCGCGGAACCGTGATTACGCCTCGTGTATCTTCACATCTTTTACAAATACACAATCGTTTCTTACAATTATTATAATTAGCGATTATCAATTCGTGCGATTGATTAAATAATGCAATAAAGAAGTAAAGATGGCGACAATAGAGAGGGAGAGAGAGAGAGAGAGAGAGAGAGAGGGGGAGAGAGAGAGAGGGAGAGAGAAAGGGAGAAAGAGAGATTATTTGATTCAAGTATCGGAAAAGCTTAATTCGATTGAAAACAAATCATCGATGTAAAATATACTCGAAGAAATAAACATCTCAATGTAAAACGAGAGATATAATTGAATTTGATTTCGTGTTTTTACCTCGGCTACTTCACGTGACTAAATTGTGAGAAATAAATCCTTTATAAATCTAAGAACGTTTTCAAGTCGAAGGAGGTTAATCAATCGCGCTGACTGATAATATGCTGACTGTTAATTGTAATTACTATAATTATTATAAAGATGATTCGAAAAATAACGCGAAGAAACACGGAGCGCTACTTCTCCGTTCGAGTTCACTGCACGAATGACGTCACGATTAGAAAGTACGCCGTGCGCCACCGAGGCGCTACTGTTTACATTCCATAGTGGTGACGTCATCCAGCCTGGGGGCACGAGCGCGAAAGTATCGAAGTAATTGCGCTTCAAATACCGTCGTGTTATCGTGCGTGATACATCATACGAAGTGCGATCATTCCGTATAATCATTATAAGTAGTATTATTGTAATTAGCTCGCGCGACTGATCGATAAAAAACACGTCAAGATATCGCGAAGGATAATTGTTTAATTTAGGTAAGGAAAAGCATATATATCGACGATATTATTCATATTTCATTAATATAATATGCCTATTTCGTACGACGCTCATCGCGAGAATTAAATATGTAACAAATAAACATAAACAATTAAAATTTAGAATAAATATATACATATAGCGTACAATATACGCGAAGTAAACAAGTGTTATATTATTGATAATAAATCGATATATTATGCTTACTTGTTATGAATTGAATAATCGCGACATCTTTACAAGCATTGATGATTTATAATTATATAACTTAATTGCGTGACTGTGTTCATAATCGCTAATTATAATATTTTTAAAGAATGGTTGCGTTTCGAAAAGTAATGACCATCGCACACGAAATTGTATAGATGCATAGTGTAAAATCATATGGACCAATGAGCATCGAATATTAAATCACCATGTTGACTTACATAACATGATATTCGATGCTCATTGGTTCATATGATTTTACACTATGCATATGCATCTATCCAATTTCGTGGGCGATGACTCTAATAAAGAAACGCAATGGCAGTGACGCGTGATTTTCGAATCGTAGCTCCGTACGAATTTTTATTTTATCTTTCAGTCGCGATATAATAAAGTGCGTGTCTGATTAATGTCGGGAGTGCCGTACAAAATGCCGCGCGATCGTCGTATCCTGATTAATGTGGGCACGATTGTAATTAATCGTACTTTCGCGAATAAGGGTGTCACGAAGGAGCAGCAAAGGATGAACAAGAGAAGAGAATCAAGGCCAGACTGTAGGACCTTGGTAGATGAAGCAACCATCGGGTAAGTCTAATTTATAATTTTTTATTATTTATTACTTATAAAATTAATTTCTTGTTTATTACCTTGAATTTGAGAATTATTACATTAATGTGTAACGCATGTAAAATATAGGGTTTTCATATTTAAAATATATTAAAGTATTGTATGTATATGTGTATATGTGTATATAATAATTAATATTTGTTCATAGATTTATTAAAATATTTTAACAATAATTATAAAATTTTTCACAATTTAGCTTATTTATACGAGAATTATTTCTTTAATTATGACATTTTTTTACATTTAAAAATTGTTTTTTCGAAGATTACAAAATTTCTTTACTAAATATTTATTAAAAGAGCAAACAAAATATTCAAATTGCATTACTTTGCATGTATTGCAATAATTATTTTTTAAAATATTAAATATTTTGAACACTAATCTATGATTTAGATATTTTATATTTTACAAATTAACATCGAGTATTGCAACTCCGCTGTTGCGCATTCCAGCGAGCAAAATAAATAATATAAATGTATATATAATGCATACATATATGTAGACACATATACATCGAGAGAAAGAGAAAAATTAGTAATCATTGCAGTTTAAATAAAAAGACGTGTCAAGAAAATTAATTAAATATTAACACGCTTTTGTTAAAAACTAATAATAAGTCAATAAATTTAAAAAAGACATACATTTATAAAAATATCCAAAATTCTCACTCCGTGCGTACATATTTATACATAATTTAAAATTTTTAGACATGCAACTTTTTATGCCAAATAGACAAATGCTGTAAAACCCTATAAAATTTCCCATGATAGAAAAAAAAAAGTTTGATAATATATTAGAATATAATTTTTATTACACTACTTAATAGCGGCGAATCTTTCTAAGGATACTTTTAGAAGAGCTCATTTCGGACTAGCTAACACGGTTTATTTGTTCTATCATACAATTTATGAAAAAAAATCAGAGAAATCGATATTTGAATGCAATTGACAATGAGATAAAATGAGAGTTGAACGGGAGAAAAATAAATTGAAATTTCTTCAGTATATAACAATCGCACGTGCGCAAAATCATCGCAGCGTCCAGGATTTATCACACCATCTATGAGTATTTGCATTTCCGGCTGTAATAGAATACATACAAGATAACATAGCGTACGCATTGAGTTTGGAATAATTGAAATACAAGAATAATCGCCAAGATAATAAAGTACGAAGATTCGAAATAATTACAATAACAATTGTGTAAAGTCTGAGAAGATCTATATTTAAATTATTTTTAATATATCTATATTCAAATTATTTTTTATATATATTTGTTATAGATCTTATTTACATATATTTTTTATAACTCAAAAATTTATTAATCTCATTACGTTCTCACGTCTCTCGTTAAAAAAAAAATAGATTATAGATTGTTTAAAAATAATAATGTAATATTTCTCTCACATTTTATATATGAAATGCGTCTGAAATCATAATATAGTTATTAACAATATGTCACTATTTTGAGATGTTATTAAATTTTCCATTTTGAAATTTTTTTTTATTAAAATTAATATTTATTAAAATTTTTTTATTAAAATTACTTTGTATGAAACAATTTTATTAAAAAAGCTTTATATGAAACAATTTTATTTTTATTAAAAAAGCTTTGTATGAAACAATTTTATTATACGTTTTATAACCTACAGGCTTGCACTTTTTTTACATGAAAATTCACCAACATTTCCAATTATATCATGATTTTGAAAATACGCATTCCGGCATGTAAAAAATTTAATCTATTTAAAAATAACATAATAAATAAATAATGATTAAATTATTTGTATGCTACTAGATTATTTATATTTAGATTATATTTGGATTATATACATTTGTATGTCTAAGTCATATTTTTAATGATTATATGAGTAATTTAATTATCGATTCTTTATTCTTATTTAATTATCGATTCTATTACGACGGTTTGAAAGACAAGAAAAGTATATGATTGAATATATATATCAACATATCCATAATTCGATAAACGATATTTAATCATTTGGAACAGTCAATATACTCTGGACAGCGTGATACGTGTTTCGAATTTCTGATTTTTGAAATCGAGTGTTTAAAAAATACTATAAAAAATGAACACTTTTTTTTTATCAAAGAATACGAATAAATTTTTTTTATTCTTTTTGAAAATGTTTTCTTCATAATTTTCGTATAAAAAAATAATTGAAATTAACAATAAAAAAGCATTAGATTCGTAAATATATTTTAATATATATTTTAATCAATTTTAAATGGCTATATTAGCTTAATAAATAATATTCAGCATAATTCTCTCTTTTGTATGTTCTGACAGTTCTATATGAGAGAAAAAGAGAGAGAGAAATACATTGTATGTATACAAAATAGCATATATATTACCGTCGTACGTGGAGAATAGATCTCTTTTTCTGCATCTTGTTAAAATTTATCTTTCGTCTGGGCTATCGAAACCGCGATCATGTCGAACACGTTGGCATTTATTGAGAGCATAAATTTCAGCAGCGAAAGAAATCGCCGTCCGTAGAATCGAGAGATCGACGTTTTATTCAACATCGTTATTGCCGTATCTAACTGTAACTATACAGTATTTACGAGACAGAGTGAACTTGAGTGACCAAAAAAAATATGATGCATCATTTAAATTTTGTTAGAAATTACGTTAACAAACTAACGTATATTTTGCTATTAGTACTAATTTATAGTTTGTTTTCCAATTGTTTATTAAATATTAAAAATCGATAATCGTAGATTTTTTCTCACATTTTACATAGTAATATTTTCAGTTGCATTGTGCATGTTTGTTCATTATACATAATGTCTCTCGAATGTGTGAATGCATGTTTGTAGTCATATAATTTCTCATTTGTTTTAAATCAAGTTACAGGTAAATATTATTAATCTTTCATTATCAAATTATGAATGATATAAATTTGAAATTATAAACTACTTATGAATGATTATATGCACTATAAATGAGAAATTGTTGTCAATCTCCTTAATTTAATTTAAAACGCTTATTTAGAGAATGATAATATTTTTAATGATAATATTCTCGCACTTTTACTACGTAAAATATATTAACATCTGGAAATGTAATTTCTAAACTAATTATAATATGAGAAATTGAAATATGAGAAATTGCAATTGCGAGATTATTATTGTACATCTAGAATAAAATTTTTATCCCATCGCAATCTGCGTTTAATATCATTTATATATTTCTGTCGGCTACAAATTTAGTGACAAATTGAAAATAAATTTTGTAATATCTATAATAGTCTATCATGGGTAACGAAATAAAAATTTTAAATTAAATTAAATATCCTGATGAGAGAGAGATCGAACCTCTAATATAAAATCATTATTAATATTAAATTATCGGCGGTAATTGCGAACAGATTAAATTGCTCTGGCATTATTAGGATAATTGAACGCGTTTACATTTATTTAGCACAAATTTGTAAATGCATAGACGATTCTTATTTAGTCAGGATCGACAAATTACGACGCTTGCTCCCTTAAAAGTGACATACTGATATTTTGCATGGATTACGCGACCGGAAGCGAGCGACTACCTAATGGTGGTTTCATGGTAATCCGCGGTGACGGTTGTTCATGTGACATCTCCAAGGAAATGAAGCTATTTCCGACAGCCGACATACGAGTTCCGCGTGCGCGTCATTAAGCAAAAAGGAGTCGTGAGCTGCCTTCTGCAATGAAACGCCAAATACTCACTTTGATTCGAGATAGATGTTGATTAAATCCACCGTGAATTAGCGAGATTAAATCTTCAACGCCAATGTGCGTAAGTTGCAAAGATATTCAATTTTCCAACTTGTATATTTTTTATTGCAAATACACAACACATAGGTTTAAAACACGATAAAAATTAATCTAGAAATAATTATACTTGTAAGAAATTGACAAGATAAATTAAAAATATGTAAACCAAGATGTAAACCGATTTACTATGATAATGAACTACCAAGCATAAAAGTTAATTTTCTCTCACATTTTTCATCATAGGTCAAAGTAACAACATGCCAATTTTTGAATAATTTATTTCGCTTTAAATAAAAAATTCATATGTATAATCTGTCTAAAAGTATAATTAAGTACAAGATTTTATCTTTATATCTGATGCACATCGCAAAGCATGTTAAAAATCATTAATATTCATTTTAAGAAATATTCATAATTCAGCAATTTATAACCATGTGAAATATAATAAAAAGAATTTATATTTATAAAACATAAATATATACATATGCAAGGTTTATTTTTTTTTCTCAAACATATAGGTATTACATTAGAGTAATGCAAAATTGTCAAGCACAACAAAAATATAAACAATTACCTTTTTTTAAAAAGATATATATAATTGTCGATATATACATTCTCGATATATATACATTCGATATATATATTCTTAAAATTATTGAAAATTATTTGAAGTTAAAAAAAATTATGAAATACATAAAAGACATTGAACGACTTACCGAAGAAGCAGCAGACGAATACGATAGTGTATAAAGTAATAAAAATTACTTTTACATCAATCCTGTCGAAGATATAATCCTCGTTCAATGACACATTATAAAGCAGAGTTTCGTTGTTCGAATAAGTTTCATTGTTACTGATCTCATAAGTGATGGTATTTGGATCGTTGAGAAGACTGGAACAAAAAAGAATAAATCTGTCATAATGATAACATATTATCATTTTATTATTTTTCGTTTCTTAGCGATTGATACGATTTAAACGCGGAAATTAAAATAATTTATGAAAAAAGAAGAACACTTGAAATAATTATTAATATAAATATCTACATGTTACACGTAGTTAATTATTAATTTTTAGTAGTATTAATTATTAATTTTTTAATCATATTATTATTAATTTTTTTAATATACAAATTATTACACAATCTATTCACTTAACAATTCGTTTGTAATACAAAAA